CAAAGAAAACTCATAAAGCGCTGAACGACTACTTATCATTCTCTTTAATGGTGCCATGCTTTTAACAAAAGTTCAACGTCAGAAGTTCTGATAGTGCACGTACTTGTAATAAAATTGGTGAATAAGAAAAGGGAACTCCTTCGGAATAATCAAGAAGTAACAGAGAAGCCAATTTAAATTTGAACTTTTGAGACAAAAGAGGAATTCACACTTAACGTTATTACTGGCAAAAAGGAATAATAAAATAGGAACAGCTAACTTGTTCTATTGAACTCATATAATGAACTGTCACAGTCACAAATAGATAAAATCATCAAATATTTATGTACTTGGAAGGAAAAACGATGCCAAATCAATTTAATAATGTCTTTAATAATTTGGAGTAATAGATTTTCTATCACAAAAAAAACCAATTTAAATTTTCTTTGAAAGTATACAGAAAATATCATAAAGAGAATATGAAATGATTGAGTTCTTTTGTAAAAAGACATTTTTACGTATTAGTCGAAAAAATTACAAAGAAAATTGAAACCAGGGTGGTTTATTATTAAAGATTAATGTGGAAATGTTTTCGCTCTGATTTAAATTTTTAATATTTGAGGTATTTTAATGAGATTTTTTACCAAATGGTCCTCGTGTTTGAATTAAAAAAGTTTTTACAGAGCACGTATTTTCTATAAAAAAAATGTTCTTTATTTTTAAAAAATTATGGAAGTATCTATAATTTCAATAAAAGAGAAGTGCAGTGAAAGTAGGGATATAACGGCACATTCCATTAGCGTACTTTGACAACCCATTTGCGGTATATTTATTAACATATTTTATTTAATAAAAAGAAACTTTAATCCATTAAACAGATGGGTGAAGGTCGACCTTACTTCGGATATTAGACTAAAGTGGTCGTAAAAAATTAAATTTTTTCGACGCCTTAAAAAAACCTTCCTTTTGATAAAAAAATACGAAAGAATTTTTGTTTTTTTTTTAACAACAAGAACACGTGTTTCAAGTCAATTGAAGTTTATTTTCTTATAAAATCGTAGTTTTTCAAAATATCTCTTAAAGTAGACAGATTTGAGAAAAATCTGAAAATTTTAATTTTATGGTGTTAATGAAAATTTCACCTGTGTACCAGAACTGACATTTCCTAAATTATAGAAATATCTTTAATACTGATACGCAGGCCTCTGGTATCTCAATTTATTTTAATTCTTTTAACTAAACTTTTACAATAACTATACAACTCATAACATTAATGTATAACATATAACGTCTATTATAAAACTAAAAAATGACGTTGGGATCATTGACTTATATAGCTTGCTTTCACCTTCTCGAAACTTTTCAAACTGTCTTGACGTGGAATGACATTTTTAGAATATTCGCCTGCTTTCTTTTACTAGTTATTCGCCCCGAATAACTTGAATACTGGTGCTTGGTTGGAGCCAACGGGGGGGAGGGGGGGGTCTGGACCACGATATGGCGCTAACTTTTCAATGTGTACAATCTTGGGTTTACTTCCCGCTGACAACTGAATGCGGTAGATTAGGTCGTTGATTTTCTTGAAGGCGGTATAGAGGATAAATCCCGTCCATGCCCGGTGATGAATATGGTTCGAATGAGCTATAAGCTTCCAGTCCGTTTAGATTCCGGTTAGCCGGTGTGTGTTCCATGGTTTGTGCACCAGGGAAGTGAACCCTGAAGAGTTCCCTTACTGTTTCCTTCCCTGTGATTGTATACTCCCCCAGTTCATTCTTAAGGGTTTTTATTGTGTGTTTTGTGTCTTTTGAGATAATTTTTTGGAGTCTGGCACATTCTTGAGTGCTTGCTATCTCCTCACAGTGCCTTCTCCAAGACTCTCTCTTGACCTTTCGTAAGGCTATGTTGTATGAATTACCTTTTTTTCCCAAATTACAGAAATGCAAAGATTTTAGTGTGATAAATTTTATATCAGTAAAATATGCCACGAAGGTAAGCATTTGCTGTTATATCGGCCACATTTTAAAGAACACAAATGATACAGAATAAGAAATAAACCTCTTAAGATGGAAAAATAAATAAAACATATTTATACATCCTCAAGTAGCAGATATCAGCAATGTGTATAAAAATGACATAATCACATTGGTATCACAAGCAAATAAACCGTCAACAGTTAGGTCGTCATCCTTGTAAATTTTAAATTATAACTTTAAAGCACTCAATGTTCGCTAGATATTTCTGCTATTTTTTCCAGTTTATTATTCGTTATATTAATATTTGTAACAACTTTGTATTTTTATAAATTCATTTTTGTTTAATAAAATATTAAATTTTTCGTCTGTATATTATTCAATTTTCATTAGATGAGAATGTATCCCACCCTATGGCCAAAACTACCTAACTGGTGGGGTACATACACCCATTTGCAGTGTTTTTTTTAATTCATTAAAAAAATATTTGAAAAGATATACGAGTTTCACCTTGCGGAAAACCTTGAAAAATGTGTAGATTAACTTTTGGATATAGCAGCTCTTCAATTGATCACGATTTTTTTTATATTATGTAATTTAATGGGATAAGTGGCCGAATGTACCATCCTTTCCTCTACATTAGAACACTATAACTTATTTATGTGTTTTGCCGTAGGATGAGAACGCCATTTTGAATTCTTAAAAACTTATTTAAAATGTTATCTTTGGCTTCTAAAATTATCAAATATCAATTTTAGTCAAAATCCACCGACTCTTAAAAATATTTAAAAAAAAACTGCTCACCCTGTATATACCTAACTGATCGAAAGAATAACTGGTTTTGAGTCAGAAAAAAAATTAAATTTTTACTATAAAGCATTTTTTGAGCTATCGTGCTAACAGACATACAGACCGAAGAAATGGGAAAACATGTTTTTTGTAATCTAGAGGCCATAAAACGTGAAAATCTGTAATAATATTGAAAGGTGACTTTTCGCGATTACAATACTTTCCTTTTATAAAGGAAAGTAAAAACATAAATTTTGTAAAAACAATACTTACTAATTTTGTCTTCAATTGGCTTAAAACCTGAATATTTTTTACTTTTAGATGACATAGAGGCCAGTTCCGTTGCAGTTTCTGACAAAGTCCTTTTCGGCACTTGGGATTGTACAGCCATACCGGATCGCCTCTCTCAAAATATGTCCCAGTGGCATGTATGTCGATTCTGACTTTTGGTTTATCGCTATTAACTTTCAAATGTTGCCGAGCGAATTTGTATACCTTCTCTAATCTTTCTCGTAAGTTCTGTATGTACGTGGGAGGCGTACTGCCCTCTTCTTCACTAAGAGGGCGCCTTCCAAAAAGAAGAGCATGGGGAAGTTTCATCTCCCTTCCACTAATTATCATGGATGGAGTATAACTGGTCGTTTCATGTTCATAACTTCAGTAGGCTAGCAGAAATAGAGGAATTTGATTATCAGGGACGAACATTGAAAGATACTGGCATTTCGTTCTATTGTGTCTTTCTACCATTGCATCGGACTGTGGGTGGAGAGGAGTGGTGCGTGTTTTTCTGATTCTTAACAGTTTCATCAATTCTTGCCATAATTCGGATTTAAAATTTTGTCCTTGGTCAGAATGCAATTTCAGGTGGACTCCTTGTTTCGTAATGACGTTCGTCAAAATGCTTTCGCTACTGTCGTCGCTTCTTGATTAGGAATAGGCGCTATTTCGGGCCATTTTTAAAATCATCAAGTATTTGTTTCCCCTTTCTGTTAAGGGAAGCATTCCGAGGATATCTATGGCGATTCGTTCGAAAGGTTCTCCGAAAATGTACTGTGCCATTTTACCTCCACTTCTTGTTTTGGGCCCTTTTCTGCCATTACAAAGGTCACATTCCTTACACCAATCTTCTACATCCCATCGACAATTGACCCAATAAAATCTTTTCCCAACTCGTGTAAGTGTCCTTTTAGCACCAAAGTGTCCTCCTGAACGGCTGATAGGAAGCTCCTCCAACACACTTCGGAACTGTGATTTTGGCAGTATCACTTAGCGGACTACATGTACTCCATCGGAGCTGCCCCACTTCCGGTGCAATAGGCCATCTTAAAGGTACAGAGAACCCCACTGAGTCCAGTACCTTTTAATGGTTCCATTATATTTGGTTTTCTCTTGCCATGTAGGCCTGACTTATTTTTGGGCCATTCTCGAACAACCTTCAGGTCTTTCTTTTGAATCTTTATTAGACTTTCAAGGGTGATTGCGTCTTCATCATCCTACAGCTTGATAATGGTCGCCTGTTAAAAAGGTAAGTGTGGAAGCGTTCGAGGGCTTTGACAAAAGCTAAAAGTTCCTTTCTTGTGATGCAATAATTCTTCTCAGCTTTTCCTAAAATCTTACTAAAATACGCAATTACTTTCTCGTTTACGCAGCACTCTACAGCGTGCTACTGTCGCCATAAGTATAAAGTAAAAGAAGAAGGGGGAATATTCAAGAAATGTATTTATACGTCAAGAAATATGCTTCTTCAACTCAATTTCAAATAAATCAAATTTATTCCTTAAACATTTAGTATTTTGATGAAAAACCGTAAGCTGAGAAATAATTGATATACTGGGTTTCTTTAATTGTTACTTTTTAATTGAATAATTAATTTTTTGTTTTTGAATATCAATATTGATCCGAAGTATAGGACGAATATGGTCGAAAATACTATGATAAACATTAAAGTTAGTTTTCATATTTGAATTAGCATCTATACAATTATTGTTACATTTAGATACGAAACTTATACATTCATCTGTAAGATGATCTGAATCACAACACTTTAGGCACTTTTTCACACTTATAGATAGCTACATTATCAAAGATACGACATCTTGCCCAATTAACATACAGGAAACCTTCTTTTAAAATAGTTTCATATGATTCATATGACTGTGGATCACAAACAATTATATCCATTAATTTAAACTTAATTTTTTTAAAAACTTTAATAAATATATTAGAATAACCATCATTTAAGAAACCATTCTGCTTTTTAATTCAAATTATTAAATCTTCAGGATGCATTTTATTTTCTGTATCTACAACTTTTAGGGAGGGATTTTTTAAATCTGGTGACTCAATATTATAACTTATAGATAATTTATTTTCGACAGATCTAACCTTTTCAATTTCATTTTTAAAATTGTATTTAATAACTACACCATCTTTTACATTTCTTATTTCATTTATCCCTATTTATAACGAAATTGGATTTAAATACTTTTGAACAGCTTTAAATTGTTTTTGCTACAAGCTTAATTAGTATTTTTGGGCTTAATAATAATTACTTCTCCTGTAGCCTAAGCATACCTCTTGAAGTTTTTGGGATGATTTAAGTTTTGTGAATTGTTTTCGTATTGTATTTGGAACATTTGTTTTTAATTTACCAATTTCTTCAGAAACTGAATGCTCTAGTAACTCAATTTCTTTACGAAGACCTTCATTATTATTTACTTCATCCAAACATACATCACAGAACCACAGTATGCCACTTATCTTTTGCATAACTTGAATGTCTGAAGTTGAAAAATTTAGACATTTGGAGTGAAACTTATTTTTGCACTTGCCTGCACATGTAATTATAGAATCCTTTATTTTAAATTTTGCAACATTCCTTATGGCTACACGACAAGGCACAAAGTAAAAACTAGCTATCCACTAGTGCACACGCACTCCAACCAATACTATTTTGGACCTTAAGATACGTTCCACAACAAAATATTGTAATTACACCAGTTTCACTGCAGTTTTATATTTACACTGGCATAAAAAGTATTCAAATATCATATCGTCGCCCTTATCACGAAGTGACCTAACCAACAAAAATTAAAAAAATGTTTTTTTGTGCGGATTAACTAGTCTTGACCTACTTTATCATCTCACGAAGTGGCACATCTACAACCTTAATAGTGCATGCAATACAGCATATTATTTCTGTGTCCTATCTGCAATAACGCATAACGATATGAGAATTACGTATTTTCGTTATATTGCTGTAAAATTTACTATTTTTTGTCACTTATCCCACTTCGTGATGAGGGCGACGATATGATACTGAAATTATATTATTAATTCACTTTATAAACAATAAACAGGTATTTATAGTTGGAGCACTATACCACCACCCCACATTAATACATTAAATGCAACTTCTTTCATTGAAACAGACGGTGTTAAAATTTAAAAAGACATTTTACTATCATCATCAATTACCAGATTGATGTTTGCATATAATTAATTTATTGTTTAGTCATTCGTGTAGTAAAAAGAAAACCGAAAGTAAGAAAAAATTAGGTAGCATATATTTGCTCAATAGATGCCTTACTATTACTAGGATATTTTTTACGAACCTATTTTTTTTAATAAGGTAACAGGTAAAATGGTGTTTACCGACATACAAATATATTGTAGAAAAAAAAATCGTCAGTCATATCTCTTCTATTTAAAATCCTTTCCAGCTGCAATTTAAGACTTGTATCCATGGGAAAAAACTTAAGAAAAAACCTATTGCGGAATGTAAAGAGTCTGCGAATAGGTTTGAAACGCCTATTTGAAAGCTGTAGGTATCAAATTTCGCTTCAGAAAACATAGTGGAAGTTGAAAAGATACTGGAAACAACTTGAAAACAAAAATATTTTGTCATATTGCAGTAAATAATATATGCAAAAGTTTGAAGGAAACTGTGGCCAAAGCTTCTTATGCCCTAAGAGGCAGTAATTATACTCAGACAGATTTGTGTGCCAGATGTATATATCCTTAAATTATTTTAACATATTGTTTGGGTTTAGTTTATGTCAAATTTATTTATTGATTTCCATGTAAACGCCAATTTTTCCATTTTCGTCCAATGTTTTATCTATCTTAAATTTATCTATATTTACTGGGGAATGGTAGTTCCTTCCGGACTCCAGGATTTTTTGGCTGGTGACAGTGCTGCCTTCATCCATCTCTTAATAGCATATTGACACCAGTAGCTAAAAATACACATCACCAAACTTATATGGAATCATCTATTATTTTCCATAATTTTTGAGATGTATGAACATTTTTTGTTTATGAATAAAACTCGGTCCTTACCAAAGACTTTTAATGACAAATAACCCACATAGCAATAAAAATAATTAATTAGTTGACAAAATAAACACAATGGTATTTTTTTGGTTTCTAAAACGAAATGAGATTTAAATTTTTAATAGCCGAAAAGCAAAAAACAGAAAGAAAATTGGTAATTTTAACAATCCGGGTTATCACCTCTAACCCTTATGCAAGCTTCTATTCGGCTTGGCATGCTTCTTATTAAATTGTCAACATTGTCTTAGGGTATGTTTTCCCATTCTGCTAATGCTGCATCAATAAGCTGTGCGATATTTCCTGCATTGTTTTGACGACCTCTAATTCTTCTTTTGAGCTAGTCCCACAAGTGTTTGATAGGATTTAGGTCTGGTGAACATTCAGGCCAGTCTAAAACTGTGACACCTTCTGTTTCAAGATATTCTGCAGCCACTCTGCTGGTATAGGGAGGTGAATTATCGTGCATAAAAATAAAATTATCCCAAATTGCAACTCTCCAAAGCTTTACGATTGGTTCTAGCACTAAATCAACATATCTCGGACAGGTCAAGTTTGTTGAAGTGGTAACAATAGAGTTTTTGCTTCCAGCATAATACATGCCTAAAACAGTATAGTTCCTCTTTGATATCTTGGGATATATCTGGTAGTGTGGAGTCTCGCTCGTCTTCCTAAAGCTCTGAGAACCCGAATTCAATGGTCATCTGATCTTAGGCCAATTCTGGTCTCATCTAAAAAAAGAACATTTTGCCAATTCTCAATTGTCCAGTTGGTGTTGGGGGCACCAATTTAGCCGGTCAATTTAATTTTTCCTAAATAACGGTGGGACCTGTAACTCTTTTCTACTGTACAAACCCCATGGAGGAAGGATTATTAAGAGTTGCCGTTTCTTTATAGAAATTTGGCAACATGTTTGATTGCAACGACCTGTGGGGTGGAGGAGTAGAACTTATCTTACTCTGTCGGTAATGTAGTTACCAGCAGTATTACCATCAACTCTTACTGTGTCGGTAATGCAGTTACCCGTAATTTTATATTTAATTTGAAAATTGGCGGGTTTTTTTAAAGGAGAATTTACTTTTGGAATTATTTTCTAACTAATACGAAATATAGCCATACAAAATTTTGATAGTAATTTTTTAGTGAAATAAAAAACATGTACGTGTAGCTAAAATATGTTCCTCTTTCAAAATTTAATCAAATTTTGATGGCAGTAAATCGCAAAATTTTGTTTTTATAAAGATTTCAAAAATTGAGAAAATAATTAAATCAAATTTCGGAATAGTGGCTCCAGAAAAACAGATATTTCACTTTTACCTGAAGGTATATATTTTTCATTCACTAAAAAGTAAAATTAAACTATAGAAATATTTGTGGCTCTATTTCGTATTGTTTAGAAAACGATAATTGCTTAAGTAAATTTTCCTCTTAATTATAATTAAAATTTTCCTTTTTTATTAGCTATTTGTAACAATTATGAAATGCCCAATAAAAATGTAAAATTCAATGACAAATAATTATGAGGGATAAAATAAATATCATACAAAGTTTTATATAATTATATTTACTAAAAATTCCCAAGAAAAATAAATAAAAAATATATCAAAGAGATGGCAATACAAAAAAAATTTTTCATGCACTTCACCCCCATACAAGCGAGCTTATGCGAAGCAAGAATGTCTATTATTATTATTATTATTATTATTTACTATGGCGCTCCCGGACGTCTTATAAATGATTCTTTAAGAAGAAATGAATGTGACGTATTTAAAGTGTGTAGGTAGTTTTATTAATATTAATAAAACTCAGTAAAAGTAGTCTTAGCGCTTTCAGCCGGTTAGGCCATCATCAGAGACTCTACAAAGATAAAAAAACGGAGCTATAACAATAGTCAAATCGAGATATTCCTAAACATTAAATAAAAAAAACATTACAACTTACTTGTCAGTAAATATAGAAGATACATGAAAATTAATTATTTAAAAATTTTATTAATTAGGTTCAAAGGGCTGCCACAATACGGTCCCTGGTTCTCAACCATAACTTGAGGCTTGAAACGAAGCAAAACCAATCCTAACAGGTGGTTGAAAATTGAAAAGAAACGTGGGGGCTCATCCCAACACGTGTAAATAAACTGTCTCAACCTTTCCAAGGAAGAGAGATGGAAAAAACTGAACTTCGGCTTGAAGCCAGCTGCCCTTTCAAAATAGCTACCGTGAGGCGGAGGCAAGTTGGGGCACAGGTAATCGTAAGAAGTAGAATGCAATGAAGACGAAAAGGTAACCATCTTGACTTTAACAGTGCCAAAAAAGAACTGAGTGACAATTGACAGTTGACAATGAAGTTGTCAAAACAATTGCCAACTTGAGAAAAACAAATAAATTTCATGAAAATTGATCAAAGTTCTTTTTTGGCACTGTTAAAGTCAAGATGGTTACCTTTTCGTCTTCATTGCATTCTACTTCTTACGATTACCTGTGCCCCAACTTGCCTCCGCCTCACGGTAGCTATTTTGAAAGGGCAGCTGGCTTCAAGCCGAAGTTCAGTTTTTTCCATCTCTCTTCCTTGGAAAGGTTGAGACAGTTTATTTACACGTGTTGGGATGAGCCCCCACGTTTCTTTTCAATTTTCAACCACCTGTTAGGATTGGTTTTGCTTCGTTTCAAGCCTCAAGTTATGGTTGAGAACCAGGGACCGTATTGTGGCAGCCCTTTGAACCTAATTAATAAAATTTTAAATAATTAATTTTCATGTATCTTCTATATTTACTGACAAGTAAGTTGTAATGTTTTTTTTTATTCAATGTTTAGGAATATCTCGATTTGACTATTGTTATAGCTCCGTTTTTTTATCTTTGTAGAGTCTCTGATGATGGCCTAACCGGCTGAAAGCGCTAAGACTACTTTTACTGAGTTTTATTAATATTAATAAAACTACCTACACACTTTAAATACGTCACATTCATTTCTTATTACCCAGTGTGTACACACCACTCAACCTCTTCAAGATTCTTTAAGAAAGTTACTCTAATATCACAAACATTACATTACTATTTCGGTACGTTAACAATCTCTGGCTAACAAAAATCAGAAATTGCATAACAAATAATTAATTTACTTGATATGAAAACTAATGCCTAAGTAAATAAATTTTTAAAATAAACAAAAAACAAAACAACAAATTCTTCTTGAATCTTAGGAAATCAGACAAAAACAACCATCCATATTAACTGAAACAGAAAAAAATTAAATGCAGTAACTTCAAATAATTTTGTTTGTCTTTTAGACATTGCATTATAATACTTTCTTATTATTAATAGTAGACAAGTTTCAACGAAATGAGAAAAGACGTCTGTTTTATGTTCTTTATATGTAAACCAGAGACGGCTTGTGGCCTAGTCTGTGAGGAAGCTGGCTCATCCTATATACTTTATACAAATATATATTTC